TGTCATGTATTAGTATACTAAATGTTATCTGTTGTTCCCTTTTAAATATTTGTAGAATATAATATACACCAATGTTCATGTATGGTCTTTTGTCTTTGTTTCAAACTAATAAAAAATTTAATTTTATTGTAGGTTGCAAAAGTGATTAGCTAACACTTATAAAACTTAAATTTCTTCGTGAATGGATCGTCAACAAAAAAGAAAACAACCTTGCATAACAACAGATTCTCATAGAAGACGTGTTTCCAGAACGAAAAATATACGGGCTGAGAAGGGGGAGTTAGCAAAGTTAGACAAGATTGGAATGGGCATAGGAACATGTATTGATGTACCAGATCGGCTAATGCTCCCAGGTTGATGCAATGTATTCCACCAGTTGACTGAAGACTTGATTATTGGTATATCGATCGGTCCAGCACGGATTGAAATAGGAGCCGGTTCGACAGAAAGCTTTTGAAAACGCAGTGCACCCAGGTAAATAAGGAACAAGATGAATACAGAGGTTAAACGAGCATCCCACACCCAAAAGGTGCCCCACATAGGTTTTCCCCGAAACCCCCCAGTAACTAAGGTAAACAACGTAGAAAAAGCACCTATTTCTGTACCGGTTCCGGAAGAGCGAAGAAAAAGGGGATGTTTTGTTAATAGGAACAAAAAAGTGTTTATAGCCGTAACGATATAAACAAGAATACTCATCCGAGCCGCAGGAACATGTACATACGGAATACGAGAATTTCCACCTTGTTGAAGATCTAGTGGTGCTACCCGAAGACTTAAATGAATAGCCATCGCTGTTAAGAACAACCGAGATCCAATGAGAATTTGCGCGTAGCTTCTGGTCTTTGACATCAAAAAAGAAGGTTGTAATAACGAAAGGGACATGTGAGAATTTGGTCTTAGCTAGTGGAACAAGAAAGACATGGATCTATATTCAATACGCAATCAAAGGATTTCTCCCCAAAAAAGAGAAGAATTCCCCTTGCTTTCTTTTTGCTCCGCTCGTGCGTGGCACTCCTTGCTCGCGGAGCGGCATACCGAAAAAAAGAAGCGACTACCTTACTTAAGCAATTCTTCTTATTCTTATTCTTTCTTAGTTGTAGTTCCTATATTGGTTTTTTTCTTTCTGGGTTTCTTAGGGCCCTCCGTCTTCAGAACGGTCCGCCTGGCCACTATGAATGAATATTACGTCAATAGAGTAAGTTGTTCTTTAAGTTGTGCCCTTAACACGAAGCTAGGGCAGCGATGCGAAGGCTTGTGAGTGCATTAAGTAAATTAAACAGATACTAGCTGGTCTGAATTGTGCAGGATCGAGCCCTGGCCTTGGAAGCCATCCATTCAAGCCTTCCCAGTCCTTTTTTATTGTTTTTTGATCGGACTTTCTAAATCCATATGGTATGATATGGCTTTCAAGCTTCCTAGCCTGGGTTTGTGTGAAGCATGAGAACATGAGCAAGCTCAGTCTTTCGCTACTCGTGTGACCCCGCCTCATGGCTTTCAGAAGGGCCTAAAGTGCATGATGATTCGATTTCCGAAATATATAAATATAAAGAAAAAGGCCTCCTCTTGCTGTTCTCTTTCTTTCTCTCTCCTATTGACTATTGACATAGCAAAGTCTGGTTCTATTGAGCGTGATACCCGCCCTCTACAAAGTGGTTTTTGAAAAGGTCTTTAAACGACTCTTCGTCTCCAGTTCCAAAAGGTTTAATGAATGGCTTTTTTCTCTGCCCACCACCCATGAAAAGACAGACTACATAGGGCCTCCTCAGCCCGCCCTGGTTCAAATACCATTTTATCCTACCTCGCTCACCGCCCCTCAGGCTTAAAAGCCTTTTCGTTGTCACCACTTACCTAGATCGATATGGCTAGTTTTCTAGCGAGATTTCTAGCTTGAATTAAGGCTTCGAAGCCCCTCTCCTCTCTCTGTAACTAGAGAGGTAGGCAAACCTGAGTTTAGAGCCACCTCGATTCGGGATGTCGGAACATCAACCGGATCGGAAACCGAATCCTAAAGTGACTTCGGAACAGGTTCGAGNAATTTAGTTATAAATTAGAATTATAGTTTAGTCTAATCACATTCTTGAACTTGATTGTGGCTTGACTAAATAACAATCTTGGTAGTTTTAGTGGGTAGTTGATAAAAGTCTTTGTGGGTTCGACACTTGACTTATCATTTTATTACTTGTACGACCACGTATACTTGCGTGTGCGTTTGGGAGTTACAGCTATAAATGAAGGGTTATATGGGCGCATAAAAGGGATGAGAGGCCTGAGACAAGGGGACCCCATATCCCCTCTACTGTTTGTAATATGTATGGAATATTTCACCAGAATAATAAAGTTAGTGGCATAATCGGAGAGCTTTGGTTATCATACCAAATGTAGAAGTTTGCAGCTCAATCATCTATGTTTTGCAGATGATGTACTCCTTTTTAGCAAAGGAGAGTTCCACTCTGTGATGCTGATGCTGAGAGGCCGTCAATCATTCTCTAACTCTTCAGGGCTAACAACCAATGCAGGAAAGTCTAACATATTTGCCGTCAATATGGAGACACAAGAGATAGAGGATTTGTGTGAAATAACAGGATACATCAGAGGCAGACTCATTTTCAAGTACTTAGGTGTTCCAATATCATCTAAGAAACTATCAAAAATGGATTGTCAAGTGCTAGTGGACTAACTAACTACCAGAATAAGGAGTTGGGGTTCAAAGAACTTTTCCTATGCTGGGAGAGTGCAAATGATCAATGAGGTGCTGATGCATATTCACACATATTGGGCATTGATTTTCATACTTCCCAAAGCAGTACTCAAAAGTATTACAGCAATTTGTCGCAATTATCTTTTGGATGGTAAAGTGGAAACAAACAGGGTACCACTAGTGGCCTGGGACCTTGTTTGCCGACCAAAACAAGAGGGAGGGATTGGGATAAAGGATTGTATGGTAAGGAATGAGGCGATCATAGGGAAGTATGTATGGGACATAGCTCAAAGACTGACTCTTTATGGGTAAAATGGATCAACCACATCTACCTAAAAAATATAGATTGGTGGGAATACAATGTACCACAAGATAGTAGCTGGTATTGGAAGAAAATATGCCACATAAGAGACAAACTTGCAGGGGGTTATGCTCATGGAGGATGGTAATCAGAAACAAGGAAATATACAACTAAAAAAGGTTACTCCTGGTTGAAGGGGAACCTGGACACATGCCAATGGGGAGGATGGGTTTGGAACAAGCGAAACATTCCAAAACACAGCTTCATTTGCTGGTTGACTATGCGGAAGAAGCTGCTCACAAAGGATAGGCTAGCTCTCAGAGGAATCAGCTCAGATGGCCTATGTGTACTATGTGAAAATGCACCTGAATCTATTGAACACCTATTCTTTGAGTGTCAATTCTCCAAGTTATGCATCATTGAAGTACTCCAGTGGTTAAAGATAAGGATCACGAACTTTGAAGGACAACACTTATGGAAAAGAGTAACCAGGAAAATCGGAGGCAAATTGAGCAGGGAGTTCACTTATGCAGTATTGGCAGCAATGAATTATCACATATGGAAGGGGAGGAATGAAGCCCTATGGCAGAGTTCAGTTCCTAGACCACACAGAGTATGCGATCAAATCAAAAAAAATATGCATAGTTCGAGTGGTGGAGATACTCAGCAAGGGGAAGGGGAACAAGGATAGGAGATGGCAAGAAGAAGTATATAGATAGATAGGAGATAGGCAGGACTAATATTTGTACAGAATAGGATAACAAATAGACTTACTTGGGCATAACCGAATAAGTACGAGACTTTCTTTATATAGCTAGATGATAGAGTATTACTTTTCTCATTGTACTCTGTTCTGGTGATGAATAAAGTCTATTCATTACACCAAAAAAGACTTTCTTTAATTGTGTTTGGTTGAAAAAGAATTCTGAAATTTTTCTTTTTTAGTACTTCTCACAAAATATATTAGCAAAAGATATTCCCCAAAAACAAAATTCGCCTTTTTATTTAATGCTTCGGGAATTTCACCTATTTTATAAGCAAATGTTCAATATTTAGCCCAAAACTCTTGAAAATTAGCGAATACCATGCTTTAAAATGATAACACGTACACATAAAACCCAAAAGTAGGGATCCATTTGATTTGTATGTTCTCACCGTCTCATGAGTCATAAGTGCTTTCGGTCTGGTTGGAAAAAAATTTTATGGAAAAGTCACCATCATTTTCACAAAATTTCGGCTCTTAGTCAAATCGCTCCGTCCAACAGATTCATTTTGAACCGCAGGATTTGCCACATTTCTCACATACCAGTGACTGATGGAATTTTTTGTGGATACTATTATTTTCCACATATATATATATATATATATATATATATATATATATATATATATATATATATATATATATAATATGTGTGTGTGAAATAATAATATTATAAAAAATATTAGATTTTAAACTCAAATTTTAAAAATATAATAAATTTAGTGGGCTAAAACATTAAAATTAAACAGATCAAGTTTAAATTTCAGATCGGTATCCGATCCCACCTCTGCCACTACACCCTCTTCACCCTTTGATGTATCAATACAATAACCCATCAAACCCCAAGTATGCAGTTTTTCCTGTTATATTGGCTTTTGTCATTACCAACTATATACCGAACCCCACCCCTTCCTATCATTATATATGTACACACGAAAACAAAAGAAAAATTAAACCAAATACGTACTGTACTTGTTATTAATTTGTCAATTCGTACATGATCCACACAGCTGTGTATGAATATAATCAATCATGGTGTAGAGAGTGAATATTTGATACGCTTGCACTTTATGCAACTATAAAAAGGTCACTTTGAAGCTAACTTTTTTGAAGTGCACAAAAGATATTTTTTAGTCCCTGTTGCAGCGCTACATTAAAAAGCATAATAATATAGAAGCCATTTATTTTGGTTCTACAAATCATGAAACTTTCTTTTAAGCCAGTACAGCCATGCACCAGCTTCAAACAAACCCCTCAACAACCTACACTCCAGTGCATCACAACTACTCAACCAAACAGGTTTACAAGAAATTTAAACCTCACCATGCAAACGTTATCCCCGAAAAACCTCGAAAATTTATTTCTTGGCTGGAATGTTGTTGAGCCTAGTGAGAATTTAGCTTCAACATCATCAGCAGCCTCGCCAATGCCCAGTTTCTCCGGACAGTACCCGAAAGAACTGGGCAATAATTGGATGGACTATCAAGGGATCAAGAACTGGGAAGGTTTGCTTGATCCCCTCGACGATAGTTTACGTGGAGAAATAATCAGATATGGTCATTTTGTTGAAGCTGCTTATAGAGCTTGTAATTTTGATCCCTCTTCTCCTTCATACGCCATGTGCAAATACTCGAAAAAGAAGCTGCTCCAATTTTCTGGCTTTTCAGGTACTGGTTATCGTGTTTCTAAGTACTTAAAAGCCACTAGCGGGATACAGCTTCCAAGTTGGGTGGATAAAGCACCTAATTGGATGGCCAAGCAATCGAGTTGGATTGGTTATGTCGCAATTTGCCATGACCAAAGAGAAATTACAAGACTCGGGAGAAGGGACGTTGTCATTGCCTTACGTGGCACTGCAACTTGCTTGGAGTGGCTCGAGAATCTACGAGCTACTCTCACCCCTCTCTCAAATAATTATAATAACAATAACAATAATAATGAATATTGTTCCAGCATATATTCCGATAGTTGTTGCCCAATGGTCGAAAGCGGTTTCCTAAGCTTGTATACGTCCAAGATGGGCACACGTCCCAGTCTACAAGACATGGTGAAAGAAGAAATAGCCCGAATCATAAAAGCTTACCCAGGTGAAACTTTAAGTTTTACCATCGCAGGCCACTCACTCGGGGCAGCGTTAGCTACCCTGATGGCCTACGATATTAAACAAGCTTTGGAGGAGATTCCCCTCGTTACAGTTATTTCTTTTGGCGGTCCGAGGGTCGGGAACCTCAGCTTCCGACACCATCTTGACAAACAAGGCACAAAAATCTTGCGCATTGTCAACTCCGACGACCTTATAACCAAAGTCCCTGGTTTTGTCATCGACAACAACAATAATAACAACAACAACGATAACTTTACGAACAATAAAGGTGGCCATTGGATCCAAAAGCTTGTGGAAGATACTCAATGGGTATATGCAGATGTTGGGTGTGAACTGCGTCTAAGTAGCAGTGACTCGCCATACCTTAATGGGATCAATATTGCAGCTTGCCATGAATTAAAAACTTATCTTCAGTTGGTTAATGGATTTGTTAGCTCAAATTGTCCTGTTAGAGCTACTGCCAAAAAGATGATGCAGAAAGCTAACTATGTAAAAAGTAACAGAAATGACGACTAATTTTACCATTAACTTTTCATATGTCTCTTCCTATTTTTTACCCACTAGCCGTTCTCCCCTGCTCACCACATTTGAACTCCACAAAGCAAAATATACTCCCTTAGTACTCGCGCGCCAATTGGATAGTTGGATTTGGAACATGATTAGACACATCTAATGTACAATGTAAATTCAGACATAATTTTTTTAATTCTAATATGTGAATACATACTCCCTTTCTTCCACCGTTGTCTCGGTACGCCTCTTAAGAAACAATAAATATTATGATGATCATCCCTATTATTTATTATATATTGGAAAATGGATCGAAATAAATTGCAGCACTTAATAAGAAGGGTGTCATAGGTATATTGTAAATATCTATTGATTTTTCGAACTGGACAAATAAAAGCGAACATTTATATTTAGTATAGTGGACAAGTGAGGGAGTACATATTAAGATATTACATCAAAACTATCACTATTTGTATAGTTAAAAGTAATTAAATTTATGTGACACTATTTCTTTTTTAGATCGTCCAAAAATAATGAAGTATTTCTATATTTAAAAATAATTAGTTAACTTTAACACTCTCATTTTATCCTTATTGATATGATTTTATAGCCTCAAAAATTAATGTATATATGAGACATACTTAGACCACAAGTTTTAAAAGTTTTTATTATTTATCTTTTAAACTCCGTGACCACTGAATCACATTCTGTACAATGCAAGGGAGGGGGTAACTTTTTTGAAAAATCGGAATTAAAGAAAGAACAATCTGATTCTCCAAATAGTAATATTTTTTCTTTAACTAGAGAAAATGAAGTCTTAAAAATTCTATGGTGAAGGATAGGCGTATCCAAAATCTAGAATCAATGAGTTCCAAAAAATCGGGACCTTAATACATGTGTACGTTTAACTTTTTTCTTATTCATCATAATTCGAGCCACAAGCAAGGGATTTAGACAAAATCCACATAAAACATGTCCTAGATCCATCTCGATACTAATATATGTATAGAGGCGGATGTAGCCTTATAGCACTAGGTTCATTTGAATTTCAGCAATTTGGACGCAGAATATAAATTTAAATATTAAATTTATTAAGAATACAACAAATTATAGATCCATACTATATTAATAACCTAATAGGTACAATGCTGGGAACATTACATATTGAACCCGGAAAGTCTAAATTTGAATTCACCCCTATATATAACAATGAGTAATTAATTAGTTGATATATATATAAAGAGATAGATAGCTAAAGGAAGTTCATTCAAATTTTACGGACCATGTCCAAAATTGTTCATAAAGTGCTCTATAACTTGGTGTAAAAATGAGAATAATTCAAGCGTTGATTTTCTTTGTTAGAAGGATATAGCATGTGCCGTGATAAATGAATGCTTCTTGCCTACTGCTTTTTGGATTATTAACTGTTACATAAAGTGCAATTCGCACAATAGACTTCAATGGTGCGTGGTCTCAAAAAGCTCTGTTTTGTTTTTACCTGAAGGAAATAGCCTTTTACGGAAGCATCCTGTCATGAAGACTGTAATTACATAGTCTGCCATCGCACCACCGACCCCGTTCTACGACTGTAGGCGCACATGCAATCGCTTTTTGTTCTACATCGGGCCGCCGTCCATACCCAAAAGGGGTCCAATATGGTTAGAATGACATAAATGCCCCTCCCGATTATAAGATGTGTCATAATTTCATGCAAATACGTAAACAATGAAAAAACTAGGCCAATATGATTGTCCAAGGTGAATCAATTCGTGTAAAAATCACTCATTACTTCTTTGTCACAATCGATAATTATTACAAATACATATATTGGTGGTCCCACACATAACATACGGTAAAATAAAGACGTATTATGGATTTAATTAAACTTTACGGGTTCGAATTTTAAATTACATTATGTTTCATCTGATTTAAGCTTCAAATATTATATTTTTTAAAATTAACCTAAATAATTGTCCATCCAATTGCTTAACTAAAAATAGTCAGAGAATATACAATATATGTAGAATTCATCTAAAATATGTGTTATAATCATGTATAATTAGCACATAATCTATATATACCGATTAGAAAAAGTAAACAATGAACCAGCCGGCTATTTGTATAAAGATCCTATCATCATTTATGCTAGTTAGTGGAATTATCGCATATACCAGGTGTATCGGTAAAAATAAATATTACACGTGGATTTATATATGTGGCTGATGTGACAAGACACGTGGATCACTAAGAAAGCGACAGCTAAAGAGACGCATTAAAAGAAGCACGAGTCGCAATAGGTACGAGCAAATCACCCACGAGATAAAAGGGGTATGGTCGCTCGAGTCTAAATTGCTATATGAAGAGACACCAGCATAATGAATCAAGACAGTAAAGAAGGAAGATTCATGAATCGTCGATTAATGTGCATGAATGATCATAGACGTTACAGAATCTTCTGAACAGTTACGATTGCCTATTATAACGTCTCATTAATATCATTAATGTTTATAATGATTCAGTCATAAAAGGGAAGAAACGTTACGTATAGATTCTTATATAAGGGAAGGGGATTTCACTTGTAAGGACACGTTCTGATTATTATTGAAATACAATTACTTTCTTTTGCTTTCTGTTGATCACTTTGCTATTTCACATTCTAATTTCCTTTCTTATCACTGAGAGAATATAGAATTTCTTGATTGTCAGTAGCCCGAGTACTTCTTAAAATAGGCTTCGACTGAGAATCTAATTCTTTGGTTAAACAAATTGGTTCCATTGCCTGGAATCTGATAATCTTTTCACTTTCCAAAATCTATTTTTCTTTCAAAAAATCATGTCGACCGCTAACGACAACAACCAACAAAACCAACAAAATTAGTTGAACCAACAGAATCAATAAGAGAATGAAACTCCAATCCCTTCACCCCAAAATTCTCCTCAACACTCCTGAGAAGGGTCTCCTGACAGATCAACGTCACATGTGACTGACCAACAAGGGGAAGATCAAACTGCTGAAGATGCATTGAAGCAACTAATTGTAGAACACGTCAACACTGCTCTTCAAGCTTTTGTTAGTGGGTTGCCAACTGTACTACCAACTCCACCTCCAAATAACACCGCAACCATAGAGAATCCACGCTCGGGACTTGCTAATTCAGGCAGTGGAGGAACCCCTAGCGAATCTCGCCATGGAAGGTCAGGTATTCCAAATAATTCTAATTTACAAAGTTTAGTAATAACTTTGCAGAAACAGCTCAAGGAGCTGAATGATCGCATAGAGCAGATACCTGGAGTGCCACCCGTAATTAAAGGAGTGGATATTGATAAATATTCTCAACATCCCTAGAAGCCAAGTGCTGCTCCCTTGCCAATTCAAAAAAAGTTTAAGATGCCCGATATTCCGAAGTATGATGGGACAACTGACCCACGAGATCATGTAATTGCATTTACAACTGGCGTAAAGGGCAATGACTTGACTAAGCAAGAAATTGAGTCGGTGCTGGTCAAAAAATTTGGTAAAACACTCACAAAAGGAGAACTAACATGGTATTCTCTTTTACCAAAAAATTCTATTGATTCTTTTGCTGAGCTTGTAGATTCACTTATAAAATCATACTCGGGAGCTCAAAAAGTTGAAAAGAGGATGGATGACATCTTCAAAATAAAACAAGGAGATACGGAGCTACTCGGGGAATTTGAGGATAGATTTCAGCATGGAAGGATGATAGTACTGTGTGTACCGGATAATTGGGTGGCCATGGCATTTGCAAGTAATTTAAATGAAAAAAGCTCAGAAGCCACGAGGAGACTCAAAGAAAGTTTATGAGAATTCCCTGCAACAACTTGGAATGATGTTTACAACAGGTATAGCACGAAGCTGCGGATAGAAGAAGATACTATCACTCAGTCACGGGGAGATGAAAGAATAAGTTCGAGGCAACCAGAAACTGAAAAAAAAGGTCCAGTAAAAATAGGTACGAACCTTACATAGGACCAGCAGGAAGGGGTTCACATTCTAAGCAGGAGAACCCAAGGTATGATTCCAGATCAAGGGACAAAGATACGGGTTCGTCATCCAAGTTTGGAAAGGAGCGAGATACGCGGGACTGCAACAGTAGTACAAAAGCAAAGATTGGTGGTTACAGTTTCAATATTAGCACATCTGAATTGGTAGTTGTTTTAAGAAGCATGGGAGATAAGGTGCGGTGGCCAAAAGAAATGAGATCGAACCCCAGTAGAAGAAACCCAGATTTCTGGTGCGAATTTCATAGTGATCATGGTCATAAAACAGCAGATTGCGGATTGCTACAAGGTGAAGTAGAGCACTTGTTAAAAAAAGGTTTTTTAACCGATTTGTTTAGTGAGAAGGGTAAGCAAGCATATATGAATAATATACAGGAGCCAACAAAACCTCCGTCACCGAAAAGAACGCTTAACATGATAAGCGGAGGAGAGGGGGTCAAGGGTGTGACATATACGGCTGCAAAAAAGGTGTCAAAAGTCACAGTTACCAACGGAAAGCGAGTTCGCCAAGTTTTGGAAGAAGATAGCATAACATTTGTTGATACAGATGCAGCTGGAGTGATGATCCCACACAATGATGCACTGATAATATCTTTAATTGTACATGATACGAATGTGAAACGAGTTTTGATTGATCCAGGTAGCTCTGTAATTATCATTCTTTTAAGAGGGGTAAATGAGATGCAAGATTATGACAAATTGGTACCCAAAGCACGTACCTTATCTAGATTTAACAATTAAGCGTTGTTACAAAAGGGGAGATAGTGCTCACCACATTTGCAGAAGGAGTAGTCAAAGATACGAAATTTCAAGTGATATATATGGACATGGCGTACAATATGATCCTCGACGGACCTTGGATTCACAAGATGGATGTTGTTCCGTCTACTTTACATCAGGTTATTAAGTTCCCTTCACAATGGAGAATTAGACAAATCCGTGGTGATCAACAGGCTTCTAGAAGTGTCAATTCAATGGCAGAT